ATTTTGATTTTTTATATAAATTGTTGTCAATAGATCAAATAAAGTTCTGGTATGAGTAATTTTTGGACAATTGGGGATTTTGGATAATAAACCAAGTATTTATTAAGAAAATCGAAAGTCGATCTTCAAAATTCCCTCAAAGATCAAAAGTTAATGACTTCGACTTTCTTTACTTTAGCACAAAAAGTCGATTAATCGATTTGTCGAATGTCGATTTACTTATCCCTAGTATCATCCTGTAACTATCAATTATAAGCGGTTTTAATTTGGTCTGAGCCGAACTTGTATACCTTCTAAAAGATCTTAAGTGTTTTAAATACAGCTTGGACTTAAGGCTTCATTGAAAAAATCATCAAGCTGGTATTTTGACCTTTCGAGAACTCGAAATGGCAAATTACACCCAATTGTATGAGGACAGAAAGTATTTTACCCTCCGATATCCCAAAATTGTCACTTAGTTTGTAAATTATATCTGGGACCTTCGAATAGCTCCGACAAAGCTACTTTATTACTGTTATAATTCGAAAGGTATTTAATGTCTAAGAGCCAGAAATACCAAATTAAGTTCAAAACGGTTGGATAATGCGTCTACCACCTTTAAATTTCCAAAAAAGTAGAAGTTTTTTTAGAAATATACACAAATTTCCCGATATTACGGAAATGCGAACCAATATTGGAAATTTTTTGCAATAACCAACATAAAAATTGTACACACTTTGTTGGTTCGAAAATAAGACTGGGCCTTTCAAAATTCCTAATATCAGACGAGATCTTAATACCATGTAAAAAATGGGGAACTTTGTTCAGTGCATGTTTCAAAATCAAAATATGCAGAACAATTATATTAATAAATAATAAATAATAATTAATTTATATTTAATAAGTTTATCTTCGCAATAATTAATCACCTTTTATTATTTATCATTAATTTCAGGTGTTCGTATGTTGGATGGCAAGGTGAATGATGTCGTCGAAGCTCAAGCGTTAAGTTTAAATCCATCACACATTGATATCTACAGTGCATCCTGGGGTCCTGAAGATGATGGTTCGACTGTAGATGGTCCTGGGCCATTGGCTCGCCGTGCATTTATATATGGTGTAACGAGTGGTCGTCAGGGTAAAGGTTCAATTTTCGTATGGGCTTCCGGTAATGGTGGACGTTATACCGATTCCTGTAACTGTGATGGTTATACCAATTCGATTTTCACCCTGTCCATATCAAGTGCTACTCAAGGAGGGTAAGTAAAAATTAAACAAAATTGCATATTAATTGATTGAAAATATACGGGCATTTATTTTTATTAGAGCAGCAGTACATAGAGATTTGCCATTTATTTTTTTTTTTAATTTTTTTAATTGTCTGAGAATATAAAGACAATATTTCTAGACTTACCCAAATAATTTGTGAAGAAAGTGTTAAATGTTTCATTGCACCTACCTTTATTATTGAATCTGACCCTAAAAATATCCACAATTAATTTAATTTCCACCCCCCATTCCACAAATCCACCTTGGCTTTAATTAATTTAATATTTTTCGCTCACGCCAATAAAACATTCAGCAAAGTATTTATGTTATTTCATTTGTTGGTTATTAACAAGTCGTTAAAAATGCAATTTAAAATTGCAACAACAACAACAAAACACCAACCAACTTAAATCCACTTACTAGTCTTATAAACTCCACATAATCCAGCTCATTATCTCTTGGCCCACTTAATGTTCAGCCAAATTGCCAATGTCAGAACTGAAATAAAAATAAATAAATAAAGGACCAAAAACAAAACAACAACAACAAAAAAAATGCATTCAAATAAAATATGATAATGTGACAGGCCAAACGATTAACCAGCAACAGAACAGTAGGGTGGCCGTTTGGTGGTCGCATACGAGAATTAATGAATAATTATACCCGCAATCGATAATGTTCAAGTGAAAGCTTTTAACAACAACAAAACCCCTAATAGGCGAAACGGCACACACACACATTCGCATTCATTTTTATATGAACCATATTTAATTTGTTGAAAGCCATTAAATATTCATTTCGTACAAATATTAATACAGCTGCAATAACTTCGAGGGTGCACAAAAATATTTATTTATTTTTTTGTGGAAATGTATGTGAAAGGATTTTTAAATTGAAAAAAATAGGAGTAAAACTTTTAAAAATGCTAAAATTATTGAAAAATATATAGGTTAATAATAGAGTTTCAATTTCAAAATGAGGCGTTATTTTCGTCTCAATCTGTCAAACTTTGAGAGATTGCAGAAATTATACGTGGTAGCTACCTTAGTCGATTTTTACCAATTTCAAGAGGGTTCCTCCTTGGGCCTTGAGCTTTGCAAAATTTCTACATTACAAGTATATACACAAAGACATAATACCCTGTGCCACATTTTGGCGCATAAAAATATTAATCAAAAAATCTGATTGATTAATGAGGTCCATTACCAACTCTGTGGCTATGTCCACAATCAAACTTGTCACATCTGGGGCTCGGAAAACCCAAGAGTTATTATTGATAAGCCATTCCTTTTATCAACGTGTAACTGTTTGTGTGATCCTATGATCCAGCGATGTAATTGGACCTAACTAATTTGAAATTTCGGTTGGATATCTAATTACGGTTACTTGTTTGTCTAGAGATCCTCGAATAAAATGCCCCGTAAAAAAGTCCCCATTGCTTTATTCTGGAAAAAATATTTTGAAGAAAATTACTTTGAAAATCTATCTTCTCCTGGCCCTTGAAAAAATACTAGTTTTCTCTTGACCCTTCAAAAATATGTTTTCTCTTGGCCCTTGAAAAATATTCTCTCAATCTGTCTTCTCTTGGACCTATACAACAGAAAACTGTCTTCTCTTGGCCCTAGAGAAAATATTTCTTAAAAATCCACGCCTCTGTTGAAACTGAAAAAAATTTCTTTAAAAAGTCCACGCCTTGTGCTGGTCCTTGAAAGACATTCTTTAAAAAGGCCACGCCTTGTGCTGGTCCTTGAAAAACATTCTTTAAAAACTCCACGCCTTGTGCTGGTCCATGAAAAACATTCTTTAAAATGTCCACGCCTTGTGATGGTCCTTTTCAAAAATATTCTTTAAAAAATCCACGCCTTGTGTTGGTCCTTTTCAAAAATATTCTTTAAAAAATGCTCGCCTTGTGTTGGTCCTTTTCAAAAATATTTTTTAAAAAATGCACGCTTTGTGTTGGTCCTTTTCAAAAATATTCTTTAAAAAATCCACGCCTTGTGTTGGTCCTTTTCAAAAATATTCTTTAAAAAATCCACGCCTTGTGTTGGTCCTTTTCAAAAATATTCTTTATAAAATCCACGCCTTGTGTTGGTCCTTGAAAAAAAATTCTTTAAAAAACTTCATTCTTTAAAAATCAAATTTGAAGTTTTGAAAAAAGAAATATTCTTTTCGCTTAGGTTCCATTGCCCCGATTTGTTCGTAATACCCTAATATAAAATATTTAGTACATATTTTCAAATACTCACCTAATTCCTTTTTTCTCTCGTTTCAGTTTCAAACCCTGGTATTTGGAAGAATGTTCATCGACTCTGGCCACGACATACAGTTCAGGAACTCCCGGTCACGATAAGAGTGTTGCTACCGTTGATATGGATGGCCGCCTGAGACCCGATCACATTTGTACCGTTGAACATACTGGTACTTCGGCCTCAGCCCCCTTGGCTGCTGGTATTTGCGCTTTAGCTCTGGAAGCTAATCCCAATTTAACTTGGCGTGATATGCAATATTTGGTGGTATACACCTCTCGCCCTGCACCCTTGGAGAAGGAATCTGGTTGGATGTTGAATGGTGTTAAACGCAAGTATTCACATAAATTCGGTTACGGTCTAATGGATGCTGGAGCTATGGTCTCATTGGCTGAACAATGGACTACCGTACCGCCGCAACATATTTGCAAATCTCGAGAAAATAATGAAGATCGTAAAATCGAAGGGACCTATGGTTACACTTTGGCCACTCATATGGATGTTAATGGTTGTGCTGGAACCATCAATGAAGTACGTTATTTGGAACATGTACAGTGCCGTATAACTCTGCGTTTCTTCCCTCGGGGTAATTTACGTATTTTACTTACCTCGCCTATGGGTACGACCAGTACTTTGTTGTTTGAGAGACCCAGAGATATAATCAAATCGAATTTCGATGATTGGCCATTCTTGAGTGTCCATTTCTGGGGTGAAAAGGCTGAGGGTAGATGGACGTTGCAAATTATCAATGGTGGTCGCCGTCGTGTCAATCAACCTGGCATCCTATCGAAATGGCAATTGATTTTCTATGGCACAGCTGTACAACCAATGCGTTTGAAGAGTGATCTGGTATCTCAACCCATCCGTGATCCGGTATATACATTTCCAACGGAATCGGATCTCGGACAACCCATAAATACCGATCAATTTAGTAGTTTTTTAAATTTCCAAAATCTTTACACCGGAGCTGGTTCTAATCCCGAGCAAGCTGTCACCACTGTCGATGGCCATAATATACCCACACCCCAGCGACAAAATGTTATGGCAGATTCGAATAATAAATTGGTATTGCATGATTGTGATCCCGAATGTGATTCTCAGGGTTGTTATGGCCGGGGACCGACCCAATGTGTCGCCTGCAAACATTATCGTTTAGATAAGTGAGTATTTTTTGCAGAAAATTTCAAAAATATTTTTAAAATGTAATTTTTATACCTTCCTCCGTTTAAAGCACCTGTGTCAGTCGCTGTCCTCCACGTTCGTTCCCCAACCAAGGTGGCGTCTGCTGGCCTTGCCATGAATCTTGTGAAACCTGTGCCGGTGCTGGCCAAGATAGCTGCTTAACATGTGCCCCAGCCCATTTGCATGTAACCGACTTGGCTGTTTGCCTGCAGGTCTGCCCTGAAGGATATTATGAAAGTAAGTTGAAAAGTCTCTGAGAAAAATACAAAAGGAGAAAAAATAACTTTTATCTCTACTTATTTATTTATTTATTTTTTACTCTGCTCCTTCATTGTTTATTCATTCTTCTTCTTTTCTTTTTTGTTGCTCCAGATTATGACAACAAAACTTGTGTTCCCTGTGAAGCTAATTGTGGTTCATGTCAAGATCGTCCCGATTATTGTACATCATGTGAACATCATTTAGTGATGCATGAACACAAATGTTTCTCCTCGTGCCCGCTGCATACCTATGAAACGGAGGAATACAAGTAAGTACATGCTCTTCAGCATTTTTAATACTTATTTTTTATATACTTGTATAAGTAGTTTTTTTTTATATGAAATTATTTTATGAATTTTTGAAAAGGACCAACACAAGGCGTAAATTTTTTAAAGAATATTTTTGAAAAGGACCAACACAAGGCGTAAATTTTTTAAAGAATATTTTTGAAAAGGACCAACACAAGGCGTTGATTTTTCTAAGAATGTTTTTGAAAAGGACCAACAGAAGGCGTAGATTTTTTAAAGAATATTTTTGAAAATGACCAACACAAGGCGTGGATTTTTCCAAGAATATTTTTGGAAAGGACCAACAGAAGGTGTGGATTTTTCTAAGAATATTTTTGAAAAGGACCAATAGAAGGCGTGGATTTTTCTAAGAATAGTTTTTCAAGGACCAACAGAAGGCGTGGATTTTTCCAAGAATATTTTTTCAATGACCAACAGAAGGCCTGGATTTTTAAAGAATATTTTTGAAAAGGACCAACAGAAGGCGTGGATTTTTCTAAGAATATTTTTGAAAAGGACCAACAGAAGGCGTGGATTTTTCTAAGGATATTTTTGAAAAGGACCAACAGAAGGCGTGGATTTTTCTAAAAATATTTTTGAAAAGGACCAACAGAAGGCGTGGATTTTTTAAAGAATATTTTTTCAAAGGACCAATACAAGGCGTGGATTTTTTAAAGAATATTTTTGAAAAGGACCAACAGAAGGCGTGGATTTTTCTAAGAATATTTTTGAAAAGGAACAACAGAAGGTCCATCAGAGAGTAGATTTTTCTGGGAATATTTTTTCAAGGGCCAACAGAATATTTTTTATATTTTGCGGAATATTTTTTCATTGTCCATAAGAGAGTAGATTTTTTACCGAATATTTAGTTTTCAAGGTCCATCAGAGAGTAGATTTTTTGCAGAATATTTTTTATATTTTGCGGAATATTTTTTCATTGTCGATAAGAGAGTAGATTTTTTACCGAATATTTAGTTTTCAAGGTCCATCAGAGAGTAGATTTTTTGCAGAATATTTTTTTCATTATCTATCAGACAGTAGATTTTTTACAGAACATTTTTTTCAAGGTCCAGCAGAGCATAGATTCAGTAATTTCAAATCATCACTAAAGTGTTCAAATTTTTGTTGCAAATATTTGATGTAAAATAATTTCTAAAATTCTATAAATTATATCAATTAACACATGGCCATATTACCCCACACACTTCACCAGTATTCGAAAAGCAGCGACCCTGTCCTCAAAGTAGAAGTTAGTGAGGTGTATCAGTATTAAAGTGGTGGGTACAACAAGTGCCTCATTAGTAAGTTTTTCTTTTTGTTGTCGTTGGCTCAACGTTTTGTCATTACTGTGGCACTAAATGCTGCGAAACGTCCTTCCACTTAATGTTTCGTCTCGTTTTCTTCATCAGCGTCGTCAGCATCAGCATCGTCATCATCATCTACTCAACCGAAATACTTGAGATAAAGTTTCAGTGAAGCAGCAGCAATACATGCCAAGCTTCCACTCCATATAGCCGTTTCTAAAGTGTTTGAATTTTTGCTTTCTTTTTCGTTTTTCCTCTCATTTTCCCACTCTACCTCAGTTTTTTTATGACAACATTCTAATTACTATGAAAATGTTCACACTTCTTGTTGCAATGTCATGTTACACGTTAATGAGTGAGCACAAGAGCTGTTTTAGTTGTAGATATGGTGATACTTGCATATGTATGTGTTGTGGTTGTGTCTTACATATTATCTGTATTGCAATATCATATGTATGTACAACTATTATTATATCTACGATGAAATCTCTGCCACTTGTCGAGGGTTAAGTAGTGCCACAGGATAAATGTTTTTAGTGAAAAACAGGTGTTTATCTGTTGACAACATAGATTTGTTTGATGCAACAATTTTTGTTGTTGTTGTCGTTATACGTGATTGTATTGCAGATGTTTGAAGGGATAAGAATGTTATCTTGAAATAAAAATTTTGGCAGTAATTGTCACGGATAGTCCGCAAAATACCGAAGTATTAGACGACCATATACAGAGTAAAATCGTAAAATCGCCAATCTGAAATTATAGAATTTTAGCATGTTATTCCTACTACAACGCTTCCACAAGGTCATTTAGAGCATTTAGACAATTTAGATTTTATGGAAGGCATTCAAAATCCCTTCATATATCAGCCTTCTCACAAAGATTTCAAATTCGAGATGGAATAAATATTTTCCAATCAGCTCACATACTTAGCCTCAATGTGAAATATGTCGTAAGGTGACTACAATTTTTGGAAAAAGATCAATTATTTCGTGGACTAACAGAATCAACATTTTACAAAGACAGCATATTGCTGTACTGATAGATTTCTCGTAAAGTATCGATCAAAACAATTTCAGATTTATTTGGAGAATAAAAACCATGGAGGTAGAAAATTTCAACGTGGCCCATATCTCGACATAACCCCATATTAGAGTCCCTACCGATTTTCAAAAGGTTAAAATCTTTTTTATGTAAGTTGGGGGAAAAATCCATTATTTTTTCGGCAGATTGCTGTACTGATAGATTTCTCGTAAAGTATCGATCAAACAATTACAGATTTATGATCGTTGGAAGGGTGACATTTCGCGGTAACAAAAGGTTGCTGTTTTTTGTTTGGTTCGTTCAGTTTTAAAAATGGAAGTGAACAAAGTGGAAATTCGGTACATTTTACAGTTTTTTCTTTGACAAGGGCGAAAATGCAAGCAAAGCCGCTAAAATTGTGATTGGTGTTTATGGTTCCGATACTGTAACAGCCAAGTATGTGCAATTTTGGTTTCGTAGATTCCGTTCAGGAATTTTTTATGTAAAAGATGCACAGGTAGGCCGGTCGTCGAAAATGTCGATAAAATCGTAGAAATGGCAAAAAATCATAAAAAGGCTGCATATTTGGTCTAAATTGCAAATTCCGAAGCCAGTTAAATAAAGTCCTATAGTTCATATAAAAATGGATGGATAATGGATTTTCCCCAACCTAATATATTGACAGAACCTCAAATAAATTGTCTAAACTGATTTTTAGATGGTTTAAACCTTCTTGTAAATAAATTTCTATGTTTTCACATAGTCTCAACATAAAGGATCGTCACCTTACTTACTTACTTAGCTGGCTTGTTACAGAACGGTTGTTCCATAAGCCGAGCTTAAAAAAGATTTCCAAGCGCGTCGGTATTGTGCGCAAGTCCACCAATTTGGAAGACCACGTTCCAAGATGTTGTTTTCTACTTGGTCTTTCCATCTAATTCGTGGCCTTCCCCTTCTACGGGAACCATCAGTAGGCTCATTTTTATATGCCTTTTGAGCTGGGGCATTTTCAATCATCCACACAACATGGCCTTGCCACCGTAGTCGCTGCAGCTCAATACGACTGACTATGTCGATGTCCGCATATAAATTGCAGAGCTCCTGGTTCATTCGACGCCGATATTCAGGATCTCCACCTTATAGGTCACATTTTCGGTCGAAGTGATTTTAAGTCGGCATTTTGGTTTCTCTAATGAACTACCCTTCTAGTTGGAAACTAATCTCATATATACATATAAATATGTATGTAGGTCAATTACCTACATGTACCGGTCCCATTTTCCATATTTAAAAGGTCGTTCTCATGTGAATTTCGACGATCACCTCTTCATTACAGAATCTTTTTTCTAGCAAGCATTCTTTAAGACCTGAGAACAGGAACATGTATTTTGGCTGAAATTCCTCTTAGACAAAATTCGTTTCAATTAAATTCGTAAACTAATGATGTAAAAGTTAAAAATCAAAGAGATTTAATTCTGGAAGCACTATTAAGCCGTGATGTTTTTTTGATTGGAGCTTCTTAGTTTTCTTACCTCTACGTTAATTTAAATGATTATTTGTTATTATTATTTTTTATGTTCGGCTATCTACTCTTTTATATTTAACACTAGATAGCCGAAGGCAGTCATTTTGACCGTTTTTCAATTTCAAGTACAAAAACAATTGTGTATATTATGACCCAGCTTTTTAAAATTTGGTGACTTTTTGTACCACATAGAACTACGTTTATTAACCATAGTAGCTGCTTCCTCCCCTCTTTCATTCCCCGTATTCACATGTGCTATACCTATATAGCCTAAAAGCGGTCATTTTGACTTTTTGTGAAATATTAAATAATCAAACTACTTTTATTATTGTATAAAGTAAATTTCTTATATGACAAGATCACTACAACAACATCGAAAACCGTTTGATACTCTAGAAACACAAACGAACACACAAATCGAGAAAAATAAATTTTATATTTCCAGTCGATTTCACTCTTAGAGTAAAGACTTCCTCTTTTTTTAACATTTTGTCCGCGTTCTTATTTTTCATAAAGGGAAACTCGAGAGCCCTCCCCCATAAAACAAATAATAACAACGTTTTGTATGATTGTAAATAATGTAAAAAATATTAATAAATAAGTTTAAAAAAATTTCTTTACAAAATAAAAATTTTTTCAGAATGAAGTCATTTTGACCGATTTTAGGCAATATAGGTATATACAAAATTCCCGTCTTTCTAGTGTTAATATGCAGACATCAATCCTCTTAACAACAATTACCCTTTATCACATTTTAATCAATAGTCAGACACTATGTGTGCTATACAGACATGTCCACAGATATACAATGGAATATAGAAATTCAATTATCTACAAGTGTGGCTGACGATGACATGTCTTTTCTTCCATTTAAAAATGAACAACATTGGAAATCGACAAAAAAGCAAACAAAACTATTGGCAGTTAATTTATTTTCTCGATTTACATGGTAAATATAAACACTTACAAACAACACGAAAAAAATAAAGGGTGAGCACTTCCTAGAGATAAAAATCTCCATAAAAATGACCATTTCTACCCCATATGCGTTTTTTGGAGAAAAAAAATGAACGACTACAAATTTTCGTGGTTCCAAAGCCACCAACTCCAGTCAATCGGCCTACATAAATTACACA